GAAGGGGGGTGGATTGTGATGTCCCACATTGGTTGGGGAGGAGAACAAATCACCATTTATAAGGGTGTGGAAACCTTCCCCTAGCAGACGCGTTTTAAAGCCCAAAGAGGACAATATCTGCTAGCGGTGGATCTGGGTCGTTTCAGTTATGTCATATCGTTATCGTCAAACTCATGCTCGTGCAGGTTTAGAATATGTAGGGATTGCTATCTTGATGCCTTAAAGGAAACAGGGCTTTGTCCTGGCTGCAAAGAGCCCTACAAAGTGGGAGACTATGAGGAAGACTCTAATGAGTATTCAGCATTGCAATTACATGGACCAGATGGGTCTAAAGGTGGCTCACAAAACATGTCAATGATGAAGCTAAACCAAACTGGTGAGTTTGACCACAACAAATGGTTGTTTGAGTCAAAGGGAACTTATGGAGTTGGTAGTGCCTATTGGACTCCGGAGGACGGTTACGGCAACGGTGGCAACGACAACTTCGGTGACGGGATGATGGAGGCAATGGACAAGCCATGGAAACCGCTTAGCCGAACGTTTCCGATCCCAGCAAGCATCATCAGTCCTTACAGGTTTAGTACATGAATGACTCGATATCTTATAGATTATCGTCAAACGTGCAAATTTGGTTGTGTTTTTTTTGCAGACTATTGATATTAGTAAGATTTGTGGTGTTGGGCTTCTTTTTGCATTGGAGAGTGCGACATCCAAATGAGGATGCAATATGGCTATGGCTAATGTCTATTGTTTGTGAGATATGGTTTGCTTTCTCTTGGATTCTTGATCAAATTCCGAAGCTATGTCCGGTTAATCGCGCGACCGATCTTCAAGTCCTTTACGACAAGTTTGATGCGCCGTCTCCGTTGAATCCCACCGGTCGTTCCGACCTCCCGGGAGTCGACTTGTTTGTATCCACAGCCGACCCTGAAAAGGAACCGGTTCTCGTGACTGCCAATACCATATTATCCATCCTTGCAGTTGATTATCCAGTTGAGAAACTTGCATGTTACGTCTCTGATGATGGAGGCGCTCTCTTGACATTTGAGGCAATGGCGGAGGCTGCGAGTTTCGCAGATTTGTGGGTACCGTTTTGTCGTAAGCACGATATCGAGCCGAGGAATCCCGAAAGCTATTTTAGTTTAAAAGTGGATCCAACGAAGAACAAGAGTAGATCGGATTTTGTGAAGGATAGAAGGAAGATCAAGCGGGAGTACGACGAGTTTAAGGTTCGAACAAACGGTCTCCCGGACTCGATTAGGAGGCGGTCGGAAGCTTTCAATGCAAGGGAAGAGATGAAGATGTGGAAGCTCATGAAAGAAAAGGGAGGACCAGATGCTATGGAGCCAATTAAGGTTCAAAAAGCAACATGGATGGCTGATGGCTCACATTGGCCTGGCACTTGGGTTGTCCCTACTGGCGACCATTCTAAGGGCGATCACTCCGGAATTCTTCAGGTATAGAATCTAAACTACAATGAACCGAGACCACATCCGATGAGAGTGATCACAATTGAAGTTACTGTCTATACTAACAAAGAACACATTTTGTTCGGTGGCTCACTCGTAAGAACCCTAAAGCTAATCGTGCTTCCCGAGAAAGCATGTGAGTGAGGACAAAACATATTAAAAAAGCTCGTGTTGGTCTATAGGGATAGTCTTCACTCTTAGAAGCACTTCGTGACAAGTAGATAATGTGACCATGTTGCAAGGGATACAAAAGAATGTTGGGGTCATTAGGTGTAGAATCGTGCTTTCCGAGGAAGCATGTGAGTGAGGACAAAACATATTAAACCGCCTCATGTTAGTCTATAGGGATAGTCTTCCGTCTTAGAAGTACTTCGTGACAAATAGATAACGTGACCACATTGCAAGGGATGCAGGGGAATGTCGAGGTCATTAGGTGCCATTACATTTGATATGTTCGGGAATATTTGTTTCCTCTCTAAAACTTTCGTTCTCGCTCGTTGATAGGTGATGCTGAAGCCTCCAAGCCACGACCCGTTACTAGGGAGCACAGACGAGAAGATCATAGACTTCACGGATGTCGACATTCGTCTTCCGATGTTCGTATACGTGTCTCGTGAAAAACGACCCGGGTACGACCATAACAAGAAGGCGGGAGCCATGAATGCCCTTGTAAGATCTTCAGCCGTTTTGTCAAATGGTCCATTCATTCTCAACCTTGATTGTGATCATTACATCTACAATTGCAAAGCCATCAAAGAGGGAATGTGCTTCATGATGGACCGTGGTGGGGAGGACATATGTTACATTCAATTCCCTCAAAGATTTGAAGGCATTGATCCTTCCGATCGATACGCCAATCATAACACGGTCTTCTTCGATGGTAATATGAGAGCGCTCGATGGAATACAGGGTCCGGTGTACGTCGGGACGGGTTGTATGTTTAGGCGGTTCGCACTCTACGGGTTCGACCCGCCGCAACCCGATAAGATGAAACAGGCTAAAAGTGATCAGCCTGAGACACAACCGTTGCAGCCAACTGACTTTGATCCTGACCTTGATGTGAATTTACTTCCCAAGCGTTTTGGAAATTCCACAATGTTGGCTGAGTCTATATTGGTTGCTGAGTTTCAAGGTCGCCCGATTGCTGATCATCCTGCGGTTAAGTATGGACGACCTCCCGGGGCCTTGAGGGTTCCACGTCAACCGCTCGACGCTGCAACGGTCGCTGAAGCTGTCTCGGTCATTTCGTGTTGGTATGATATGTTAAATACATGTTTTAGTCTCGAATGTTTTAGTTATAAGTAGCTACGTAATTTGCTTATTGTCAAAGGTACGAGGACAAAACGGAATGGGGCGAGCGAGTCGGATGGATTTATGGATCAGTTACAGAGGACGTTGTCACGGGTTATCGTATGCATAACCGTGGATGGCACTCAGTGTATTGCATTACCAAACGTGATGCATTTCGTGGGTCAGCTCCGATTAATCTCACGGATCGTCTCCATCAAGTGCTTCGATGGGCAACAGGTTCAGTCGAGATTTTTTTCTCAAGAAACAATGCTTTTCTCGCTACGAGACGCCTCAAATTTCTCCAACGCCTCGCATACCTTAACGTCGGCATCTATCCCTTCACCTCGATCTTCCTCATCGTCTATTGCTTCCTCCCGGCACTCTCTCTTTTCTCCGGGAACTTCATCGTCCAATCACTCAACGCCACTTTCTTAATCTACCTTCTCATCATCACAATATGTTTGATCTCATTAGCCATTCTCGAAGTGAAATGGTCCGGCATTGGGTTAGAAGAATGGTGGAGAAACGAACAATTCTGGCTCATTTCAGGTCAAGAATTCGAAACTTTTACTTCCACGACACCACCAACATTTACATTGACAATGACATGTTAAACTCTAATCACAGGCACGTCGGCTCACTTAGCGGCGGTAGTACAGGGGCTTTTGAAGGTGATAGCAGGGATAGAGATCTCATTCACGTTAACGTCGAAGTCATCAGGTGACGAAAATGAAGACATCTACGCGGATTTATACCTCGTGAAATGGACATCGTTAATGGTGCCACCAATTGTGATAGCGATGATGAACATCATAGCCATGGTGGTGGCATTTTCAAGGACAATATACAGCACAGTGCCACAATGGAGCAAGTTCATTGGTGGGGCGTTTTTCAGCTTTTGGGTATTGGCACATTTGTACCCATTTGCGAAGGGGCTGATGGGAAGGAGAGGAAAGACACCGACAATTGTGATAGTTTGGTCTGGTTTGATAGCCATAACGCTGTCTTTGTTGTGGATAGCCATTAGCCCACCCAAGGCAGAGGATGCTGATGCTGCCATTGGTGGAGGAGGCTTTGAGTTCCCATGAGAGGGTGGAATTTTTTTTTTTTTTTTTTTTTTTTAATTTTTTTAAATTTATTTATAGGGGCTTGGAGTTTTGTGTATTTATGTTTGAACGGGTCTAAATTGGGGTATGTTTGAAAACAAAGAAGAAGAAGAGGGACTGAGGAATAATTTAGATAAATTTTGAGGACTAAAGGAATATATATATATACATGTATTCTCATGTAATTGCAAAGGATTAGCCTTAATTTTTCTTTTATTTTATTTTAATTCTAGGAAGCAAAATAAATAAATAAATTAAATTAAATTAAATAATATAATATATATATATATATATAGTTTCGCGATGAAAATTATTAATATTTTGTTTTAAAAATATTGTGAAAATTTTTAAAAACTTACAAAAATAACTTTAAGGTTTATTAGAAAAAAAATAAAAAATACATTTTTCGTACCCAAAAAGTAATGTATGAGGTGTCATAGACAGCTTTTGTTCATACGTTGACCGTAAAAAAAATTTACAGAGGTAAAAAGTGTTAATCTGACTTTTAAAATTTTATTGGTATTTTTTTAACCCGAGTATGACAAGGAGTATTTTTTAACTTTTTAAATAGTTGAATAGTATTAATGAAATTTTTTTAAGGTATTAAGTGTAATGTTGAAATATTATTAAAAGTTGTATTTTTTTAACTTTTTCTCCGGTATGCAATGCGAGATGCGCTTTTCGAACCGGCTATATTGCTTTCTCTTTGTCATTTCCGTCCTCTCGGATTGGGCTTTCGCATGTCCTGGGTCATCAAATCAACTAGCAACCAGTTTACAGAACAAGGAGTTAAACAAGGGCTAGGAGATTGATAGAAGAACTCGACCGAAGCTTGACTGAAAAGGGCTTGTGTTCAACCTCACGGGTTGGCTGGCTGGCTGGAAAGGATTGTTGTGTGACTGTCTGTTATCTTCTCTTAGCAAAGTAATATTATTAAAATATTTTTTTTTGAGATTTAGGAATATTTTTATTAATTTAGCATATATTTCTATTAACGTACATAATTAAATTAAAATTATGCGAAATTATATCGGAATTAAAAATTATAAATTTTGAAGACATATCTAAATTGAGAGATTAAGAGGCGGATTTTGAGCAAGAAATAAAATCATACAAAAATAAATAGAAATTCAATCCAAATGCGTCCAATAATTTCGAATTCAATCTTTACGTTGGCGACGGCATGCGAGCATTTGAGAGAGTTGTCGGCGATTCATTGGAACAAAGTTTGTGAAGCCTTCCAGCTGCGCTACCGTACGAAGAATCCATTGCCGTCCTGTGAACTCTCAGCGCTCTTTCACCGTCTCTGGGGGATCATCGTCCAATTTTCCACTTAATCCACGGTATTTTTCCTCTTCCCTTTCCGCTCCTGAAATTTCCCCGCCTCTTTCGAGTTCCCGGCAAAATTCAATTTCATTTCTAGGGTTTTTCGGCCCCGCGAACCCGAACCCGAACCCCCTACTGGATTGTGCTTCGTTTTCTGTTTTCTAGTTGTTGGTTGAGTAATTTCTGTGGATTGTTGGATGCTTAAATCTGAATTCATTTTTGGGTTATGGGTTTTGGTTGTTTTTGTGTTTGATTTAATGGGTATTGTGGTTTGCCTTTGAATATGAGGTGAGTTGAGTAACTGATCTCTTCTAGTTGTAACTTGTACTCACCGGGTTGGAATGGGTATTGAGTTTGCAAAGTAAGTTCTGATTGGATATTAACTGTTTCACATGGATAATGAGGTGATTGAATTTGATATTGGATTGGGGGGAGGCAGTGGGAGAGATGGAGATGATTATTCTATGGCTATGGTGCATGATTCCATGGAGGAAGAGGAAATGATTGATAGCTCTCCTTTGAGTGGTCTTGGTTGTGGTGCTGGCAGTGGTGAGATTTATCTTCCTGATGGTGATCTTTTGGATCTTGAACCTCATGAAGGAATGGAATTCGAGTCTGAAGAGGCTGCCAAGGCTTTCTATAACTCGTATGCTCGACGGGTTGGGTTTAGTACTCGTGTCAGCTCCTCCCGTCGATCTAGGCGTGATGGAGCGATTATACAGAGGCAATTTGTTTGTGCCAAAGAGGGGTTTAGGAATATGAATGAGAAGCGAACTAAAGACCGAGAAATTAAGCGTCCTCGAACCGTTACAAGAGTCGGTTGCAAAGCATCTTTATCTGTGAAGATGCATGATTCTGGGAAATGGGTTGTGTCTTGTTTTGTTAGAGAGCATAACCATGAGTTAGTTCCTCCTGATCAGGTGCACTGCTTAAGGTCTCATAGGCAAATATCAGGTCCAGCAAAGACCTTGATTGATACTTTACAGGCTGCTGGGATGGGACCTCGCAGGATTATGTCTGCACTCATAAAGGAGTATGGTGGAATCAGTAAAGTTGGATTTACGGAGGTCGATTGTCGAAATTATATGAGGAATAATCGCCAAAGGAGCTTAGAAGGCGACATTCAACTGCTGTTGGATTACTTAAGGCAAATGCATTCTGAAAATCCTAACTTCTTCTACGCCGTGCAGGGAGAGGAGGATCAATGGGTTGGAAATGTCTTTTGGGCTGATCCAAAGGCTCAGATGAACTATACTTACTTTGGCGATACTGTTACATTCGACACGACCTATAGATCGAATAGATATCGTCTGCCCTTCGCTCCTTTCACCGGGGTGAATCACCATGGACAGCCAGTGTTGTTTGGTTGTGCTTTTCTAATAAATGAATCTGAAGCATCGTTTAATTGGCTATTTAGAACGTGGCTTTTAGCAATGTCTGGTCACCCACCTATGTCGATTACTACCGATCATGATGCAGTAATACAGTCAGCCATCGCACAAGTTTTCCCCGAGACCCATCACCGTTTTTGCAAATGGCATATTTTCAAGAAATGCCAGGAGATGCTATCACATGTGTTCCTTAAACATCCAAGCTTTGAAGCTGACTTCCATAAGTGTGTAAACTTGACTGACTCCATTGAGGAATTTGAGTCCTGCTGGTTGTCACTCGTCGACAGATATGATCTCAGGGATCACGAGTGGCTTCAGACGGTTTACTCAGCTCGGAGGCAGTGGGTTCCGGTGTATTTGAGGAACACTTTTTTTGCTGAAATGTCTATTACACAACGAAGTGATAGCATGAATTCATATTTTGATGGGTATGTGAATGCTTCAACCAATTTGAGTCAGTTCTTCAAACTGTATGAAAAAGCTCTCGAGAGTCGAAATGAGAAAGAAGTAAAAGCAGATTATGATACAATGAACACTTCCCCTGTTCTAAAGACTCCATCACCAATGGAAAAACAGGTTTCTGAGCTTTACACCAGGAAGCTGTTTTCACGGTTCCAAGACGAGTTAGTTGGCACGTTAACTTTCATGGCCTCGAAGGCCGATGATAACGGGGAAGTTATAACTTATCAAGTGGCCAAATTTGGAGAGGATCATAAAGCTCACTATGTGAAGTTTAATGTTGTGGAGATGAGGGCAAATTGTAGTTGCCAGATGTTTGAGTTTTCAGGCCTTTTGTGCAGACATATCTTGGCTGTCTTCAGAGTGACCAATGTGCTTACTCTTCCATCTCATTACATATTGAAACGATGGACGAGAAACGCGAAGAGTAACGTGATATTGGAGGACCATGTGAATGATATCTATAACAACTATCTCGAATCTCATACGGTGAGATATATTACCCTACGCCACGAGGCTTTTAAATTCATCGAGGAAGGAGCAAAGACTATCGATACATATAACGTGGCAAAGGATGCCCTTCAGGAGGCTGTAAAAAGGGTTTCGCATACGCCAAGGAATAACAGTAAAATTTCTTCGATCGATGAGCGAATTAAAGCGGACCCTGCAAATGATATAAGCTATACTAATCATAGTAGTAGCACATGTCAAGACGGGAGCTTGGGAATAAACATGTCCGAGGTACGAGTTCGCTTTCTTTTGTATCTCTCGGTTCCAACTTCTTCCCTTTTTTATAATGGAATGCATTACTCAAGATTTCTAGATAAGAAAAAAAGGTGGATTTCGATATCCTTTTAGTGTTTTGAAGATTTAGCATTGGATTTCGACATGACCGTGGCTGGACAATCCTTCATTCACTTGCATGATTTTGTTCTTACTTTTTTTCTTTCTCGAAATTTTTGGCAGGACGATTTGGACAAGAAAATCAATGAACTGTCGAACGAGTTGGAGTGTGCAAATCGGAAGTGTGAAGTGTATCGATCGAACCTTTTTTCCGTGCTGAAAGATATTGAGGATCACAAGTTGCAATTATCTATTAAAGTACAGAACATAAAAATCAGTATGAAAGACAGCATTTGAAGCTGTAGTAGAAGTATATAGCAAGTCTTTGACTCACCTCAATACCAAAACATTGTGTAACCTTGGTCCCATCGAGAAGTCGACTAGTTCGGGGGATGTAAACTTGTGTTTCTGTCGAGCAATCGAGGCTCCTACATCGGTATGCAACAACTAAGATGGATGACTGCGTATCTATCTTCATTGCAAGTTTTTTCTAGGCGTTCAATGGGTCTTCTTTGAACCCAGTGGTGATTCGAGTTTAATCGTCTTCTTCACCGATTCGAGTCTCCAAATCCTAATTGAAAATTACATGTAGTAGTTGCTTCCCGATTCCGTTCGCTTACTTTAGCTTGTTATGATTCTATTACTTGGCTCGAGTTTTTCTCGATTTCTGAATAGATGTTCATCTTGTAGGGGGAGAAAATGACTGTTTTGAAGACTGTGGCGATGTTCGTCTTATTGATGGCTAACCTTCTCAGATCAGCGTCGTTTTCGACATCAATATCTGAGGTAAACAAATGTTGATATGTTTTTTCTTTTTTGTTCCTTATGATTTGGGTAGCAAATAAAGAATGCTAGGTGCCCTTGAACTGAATGTACAGGAAATTCTTTGTAGATTTGGTGGTGTTGTTGCTATGCTGATAGAGTAGTTTGTTTAGGAGATGTTATTTAACTTTTATTTATGGAGTGCTCAACTTAGTTCTTTCATCGGGCCAAAATCTCGACTTTCTTTAGGAAGAACTGAGAATGAAGTTCCTATTTAGCGTTTTCCATGTGTCTATGATGCATCAACCCTCTTAGATGTCCATATTACAGGACCTCCACTGTAACTTGGCGTTTGTTGTTAAGGTGATTTCTTATTCCTCGATGATTGTGCTTGTGGTTTTAGAGTACTGTTCGAGATCAAAGATGAAGTTCTTCGGATAGCATGATGAGCCCTGCAAAAGAGCTTAGGTTTCTATAAGTGATGCTTTTACCTTACTAAAATGGGTTGCACCCTCGTCGATGCTTGTTTTCTCACTATTCTCATGGTGAGGTTTACTATAGCGCTCAAATTCGGGAGCTATGTCCTCACAACATCGAGGCAACTCTTAAATCTCTGGTGAGGTCGGTCACCATCCGAACTTTTGCCTTTCCTCCATCTGGGCTAAAGAGCCGGTCGAGCTATCCCACGCTCCAAGCTACCTATTCTTGAAGCTTTGTTTTCTATGGTCTCAACTCTCACCATAACTCAAAACAATAATGGTCTCTCAAGTTTGATCGTTCGTGTCTATTTGGTTCTAGAGTTGTTTATCAAATCAGGCATGCATTCCCAATTTCTTGATTTGACACTCCAAATTGGTTGTCAAACTCGAGCGAGCATACAGTACCAAGCAACTTTGAACTAAGCATACAGCTCAAGTCCACCGCTAGCGGATAGTGTCATTTTTGAATTTTTCCTTTCAAACTTCTCTCAAAGTTTTAAAATATGAATGTTAAAAAAAGGTTTTTGCACCTTTATAAGAAATATTTCATTCTCCTCTTCAACCGATTAAGAACTAAAAACCTCCATTAAAGCCTCCAAGCTCCGAAGCAAGCAGATCTCCGCCTTAACCCATGAACCAGAATCAGAGCTCCTCGACACAGACCCAAATCCGATTCACCAAGCTTTGGCCACTGCAGAGAAGTAACCAATGGCGACGTGGGGTCACCGGCAAATGGGAATCGACGGAACGGAACGGAATCAACTTGTAAGCAACCAACGTAACGGAAGTTGAAGGGGAGGGATTGGTCCCACCGGCGACCAACTTCCTGTGGAGAAGTGTGGGGTCAACGACTGAACAAGTGTGGCTTCCCTTCTTTGCATCTCATGTTATTTAATGGAACCTACCATTCTTTAAAAAAAAATAATAATAAAATAAATAAATAAATAAATATATATATATATATATATATATATATATATATATATATATATATATATATATATATATAAATAATAAAAAAATAAAAAATGTTAATTATTTTGTTTAAAGTTTCATTAATATTTTTTTAACTTCTTAAAAAAATTTAAAAATATTATTATCGTTAGTACTATGTTTAAAAAATATTGATAAAATTCTTATTGGTTATTAAAAAAAAAAATTTACACAAATTCTTGTTAATACACGTGCGAAAATTGTCTATCTGACATTTTCTAGATTATTTTCAAACTTTTTAATATTATTTTTTAAAAATTCATAAGTATTTTTTAAAGGGTAAAGGTATTATCATTTTTAAAAAAAAAAAAAACTTATGTGTTATAAAAATGTAAAAAAAATTTAAGGGTATTTTTGAAATATTGTTAGCGATTTTCATCTGAAACTATATTTTTAAAACAATGGTGAGTTTAACGGTATTTTTATTAATTTAGTTTTTAATTAAGTGGTGGTATTTGTTTTGAATTTATGGTAATTAAGGGGATGTTTTTGGTAATATTATAGATTTGGAAGGTTAAATGATAGTTTTATAGGAAGAAAGGGGAGGTAGTTGAAGAACCAATTCATCATCCATTCCCCCTCACAACAAAGACAGATTCATCTCTGACTCTCACCCATTACTTCGTCTATCTCCACTCCTCTTACTGTCTCAGATAGCGATGTCTCACACCATAAATCTGAAACAGATGCCCTTTAACCCACCTACTACTACTCCATTTCTTCCCCTACATTCACTAACTGAATCTACCGACCTAATTCGGCGCAAGAGCCAAGAACCGCTAACAGATATTGTCTTTTTTGGGTTTTTCCTTCAAGGGCTTCCTCTCGATATTTCTAAAATGCGTCTACTAGAGAGAGGCTTCTACACCCTCAAGATTTTCAACATGTAACTAACTAAATCTACAGAGGTAACTCGATGTAAGTGCCAAGAAATGGATAGCTAAAAGCGTAACAGCCTAAGTCCACCGCTAGTCGATAGTGTCTTCTTTGGATTTTCCTTTCAAGGGCTTCTCCTCAAGATTTCTAAAACGCGTCTACTAGTGAGAGAGGGGCTTCCACACCCTCAACATTTTCAACATGTATCTAACTAAATCTATAGAGCTCATTCGACGTAAGTGCCAAGAAATGAATAGCTAAAAGCGTAATAGCCTAAATCTACTGCTAGCCGATAGTGTCTTTTTTGGGTTTTTTCTTCCAGAGCTTCCCTTTAAGGTTTATAAAACGTATATACTAGGGAGAGATTTTCACACTCTTATAAGGAATGTTTCGTTCTCCGATCTCACAAAAAGTATCCTGCATTTTCTGCCAAAATGGTTTACTGCTAATTCTAGCTCAGGAGTGTATATGTAATGACATGTTCTTCGACAATAATGATATGTTCAATGCGATGGAAAGACGACCAGAACGCATTTAAACAGATAACTGAAGGGATGGGGAAGATTTTGTAAGAGTGATACCAATTTCCAGAGTAAATAGCAATTGAATTGATATGCTCAGTGAGAAGAATCTCTTTTTAGCTGCACTAATGCTTCCTCTACCTACAGAACTTACGAGGATAGCAACTTTTCAAGCAATATTGAGATTCATTTGCTGAATTTCAGTTTCGAAAATGAAAATGTGGATGGAATGAGTAAAGGAGTATGGACATCACCTTGTTCTTGACAAAGGCTTGAATAGAAACATAGTATAATACTTTTCATGAATCCTTTGAGAAGATCCAAGTGCTAAAAACTGATCTTGGACATTTCTCTGCAAATAGAGATGATTTAGTTCTGTATTTCGAGGCGTAACTGGCAACGGTCGACCATCAACCGAAGAAGATGGATCGTTCAAAATGGTTCCTTGCAGCTGTGGAGGTAGTTCTGGTGGAGGCCTGCAGAAATCATCTTCGTTAAAGTATTGGTTGTCGTAACTCGATGGCGGGGACGGAGGAGTTTCGAACTCGAACATACTTTCAGGCAATTCAGAAACATAGCCCTGGAAAACATAGTTCAATGGGAATTGTGTGGAGCAGCAGTAATAGCATTCTTGAGGAACACAAAATTATCAAAACTTACCGGCAAGTCTAAAATATTGTAAGCATTCCCTGAATCATTACGAAACCAAGGTAGATCTGGAGCATAAACCAACCAACCATCAACTATAAAGTGGTAGTGATAGATACCGACCGGCAGAGTTTTAACAACCACAAACTTCTCACCAGTGTTCTGCAGGAGCTCTCTAACAGAAACACAGTAAATTCAACACAATCAAAGGTTGTTCGAGTTGAGATTCAAGAAAACGAAACGGAACGAGAAGGAAAAAAGCACATCATCGAAGTCGGTTACCTCGACTGCCAGTTATCCCATGATCCAACAATGGCTACTTGATTGCCACCATGATTCCATGAGATCCTAACACGCGACCTCGTCTCATGGAACACATTTTCAATGAATGCAGCAGCACTCTGAGGCACAGATTGAGGTTGAGGCTGTAGCATCAGACCAGGACTTGACAAGGAAACTGTAGCGTACTAGAAGTGAAGATGAATGAAAACAAAAAACTATGAGAGGGTTAATTTGAGAGTAGTGTTATTGGTGGTTCAATAAACCGAAGTAGGTACACTATTTTTGGCAGATTTCTTCTCATAAATACAAGGTCCCACTCAGTGTAGACACCCTCTTTTGGCATAGTTATTAGGCAATTAATGGCGACTTTAGGTGCTCTATTTTCTTCTATACTTTCAGACAACAAACAATAATCTGCACAACCTTTTTAACAGGTTGCCTTCAAATGGAGTGAAGGAGAAAAATATATCCAATAGTTTCACAGAAAAGAATGACCCATCGTCTGTAATGTAAACAAAGCATTAACAAAAAGCTTTAAGAGAGAGAGACAATAATCTGCATATTCGATTACTTAACATATCAGGATGCTCAGAACAAATTCCCATAGTTTCAAAAAGAAAATGCCTCCAATTAAACAGCTCCAGAATTATTCCTTCTTTCAAGGATTCAAGGAAGTGGGTGGAATGGAAAGAGAGAGAGAGAGAGAAAGAGTGTATAATTATGAACTTTTTTTTAAGAAAAAGATACAGAAGAACAAACCTGAGGAGAGCCTAAGCTTTGTGGAGAAATCTGAATTCTGGAGTCTGTAAACGAGCGAGTGTGGTGGCTGTTTTGTATTGCATCCTCTGTGCAGTCCATCCTTTGGTCGTGATTCTCCTCAAACTTATGGACTCCAGAGAGGTCGTCTCTGTTCTTGCTGCCCTCAGCATTGTCCATCACTGAAAAACAGAACAAGAACCAGGATATAAACAACGAAGACAACCCAAATCGTCAAAAAATTGCCCAAATGAAAAGAAAAAGAGTAACCATCAGGACATAGAGGAAAAAGACAAAACCCCACAAAAGGAGAAGATTTTTATGCATACTTGCGTCAGTTGATCAAACCCACAAAAATTTAGAATCTAAACCAAGAGTTGGGTGAAGGGAGGATTCTGTTAGCTCTGTATTTATGGAGTTCTGTTTTTCTCTCTCTTCTCTCATACTTCCCAAGGACATTTTCTCTTCCTTCTTTTCCACTTCTTTGCAGCCCAAACAAACCCCTCTTACTGCTGTAAAACGATGAAGAGTGGTTTTTTATTCTCCAATGAATTTGGAAGATTCCTTTATTGGATTGCTAATTGTGCTGATTTAAAAGTTGCCTCGTCATGAACACTCTTTTTTTTCTTGCCTTTGTCTGCAGGGAGTCTTTTGGAGCCTCCAACAGCCACTCCTGAACTGCCACTGCATTGAGATGTTCTCCAAATCATAGTACAAAATTACTGTTTTACCTATCTTAGCCTCACGGGTTAGCTCATAAACTTATAAAACAATTGATACACAAAGGCCGGAGATGAGGTTAGAAAATTACCAAAATTGGCTTCTATAGACAGAAGAGCTGCTAGAACAAGCAAGGGTGAGCTGTTGATTAGAACTGGATGTTGCTTTCGGATAACAACTTCTTGTGCATATTTGTCAAACCTTCAAAGAGGAAATTGTAGAATTCATCTTACAAACCTTGTGGTATAATAGTATATGATACTTGACCTGACCTGTAACTAGTTTGCGTAGGGAAGAAGATGTCGCCTAAGCTAACTTGTCTCTGTTGTTGTACGAAGTCAATGGAAAGACATTGCTAAAGCAAAACTGCCTCCCCATGTGATTTTTTTTCCAAATCAATCTCATGGAAAGCCCTAAAAAGATCAAAAGATTGAGATAACTTGATTAGTGATGTCCAATCACCTAATACCCTGAGAGAGACTGAAGCCGAAGGGACGCTGGATTAAGCAACAATCTTTATTCGAGTGAAGCCCTCTCAATTTGATGTGATAAATAGGATACTTGCAAAAGAGCTTCAAAATAACCCAAATGGCCAGAGCCGGACTAAGGAGTGGCATCTCGTTCTATCGTCCGTCCGTCCATCCAATCAACGATAAACAGTCAAACGTTGAGAGGAAGTTATACCAACTTTATGTTGAGGATTGTTGGGAGGGAGTCCCACCTAGACTAAATGAGGGGAATGATCATGGGTTTATTTATAGGTCAAGAATAGATCTGCTTTGGTACGAGGCCTTTTCGAGAATCTAAAAGTAAAACCATAAGAGCTTATATTCAAAGTGGATAATATCATACCATTGTGGAGATTCGGTAAACCGCTTAAACTTTTGCAATCATTTGGTCCTGGGGAAGACAGTGCAAGAACCTAATGAAAGTGATTTTTCTTTCTCAACAATCAAGCCACCAGAGCAGAGCCAGAGTGAAAAAAATGGATAATTAGAGAGAGAAAGAGATGAGAAAACCCAAAGTAAATGCAGGCCAAGTTAGGAGATAGCACGTACATCGTAAACTTCTACTGCCCTCCTTGAAGTTGAGAGTTAGGTGGTTAAATGTTGATATCACCAAGTTGGAGAAGCTGACACCGCCACCCGGTGGAGCATCTACATGAGTCTGCTTCTTCTTTCCTTGGCCCATCCTGACAGCAATGTGCTCGATGTAGACCTTCAAAAGAGACATCTCCAGAGCTGCCATAGAAATCTTCACTGTTTCTTCACATTCAAAGCAATTCCATTCACAAATCATCTACATTTGGTGATTAAAGGGTCCAAGCTTAATGTAACACATCTTACTAACTCAAGAACAATACAACAAACAATTGCCAATTATTGACATAAACATTTCTTTCCTTCAAGCTGTAGTTTCTATAGTGATTTTGACTGGTGGGATTCAATTCACAACTAAGAAACAACACAACTCTGATTGCTATCGTCTTAATTCAAAAGAATCAAACCGTTTTACTATAAAGAATCAACTGATAATTGATTAGCAAATTGTATAGTGGACCCATTCAAGAAAAACTTTTTTACTTATCCATTGAGGCATTTTGTCGAACATCTGGCGGGTGGTTACGGAGAAAAAGGCAATATATTTGTATAGTTGTAGAAATGGCTCCGCTTATTCAGTTCCATTTCCATTCGATCTCAGGAAAAACAAAAATGTGGGTACGATAGAAAGCTACAGTACAGGGCACTACCTTGTTTGGTCCGTCCACTTAGCTTGGAATTTTCGATGCTTCCAGTTCCTTCTTCGATGGTTAGATGCAATTTTGACCATTTGCCCATTACCACCGAGTAACACTAAATTAATAAAAAAAAAATATTGTTACCGCCAGATTTCACGGGATTGGGGAGGAGAAGTGTGAAGACTCTAGCTTTTTTTTAACTTTGAGGAAAAGTACAAAGAACCAATGGTTGGTTTGAGTTATTACAAATGATATTAGATATTATGCCAGCAAGGAGGCTGAGTCCTGAAGGAGTGGACAGAGGAGGTGTGCCAACAAGATCGCTAGGTCTTTGAACAGTTCCACATCAATTGGAGAAGGGAACTAGTATCAGCGAAAACACATGTATCGGCCTAGATTCACCGCTAGCAAATATTGTCTTCTATGGGCTTTCCCTTTCAGGCCACCGCTTTAAAATGCATATGCTAAGAAAGGTTTCCACCCTCTTATAAATGGTGTTTTGTTCTTCTCCCCAACCAACGTGGGACATCATCATTCACCCTCCTTCGAGGCCCAACATCCTCGCTGACACTAGTTCCTTTCTCCAATCAATGTGGGACCGCCACCAAATCCATCCCCCTATGGAGTCCAGCGTCCTTACTGGTACACCACCTCGTGTCTACCCCCTTCGAGGAACAGCGAGAAGGCTGGAAAATCATCCGGTGTCTAGCTCTGATACCATTTGTAACGACCCAGATTCACCGTTAGCAGATATTGTCCTCTTTGGGCTTCCCCTTTAAAACGCGTCTACGAGGGGAAGGTTTCCACACCCTTATAAATAGTGTTTTGTTCTCCTCTCCAATTAATGTGGGACATCACTACGCAAGGCCCCGTAGTGGGTGGATTGTGAAATCTCACATTAGACGTAGAAGAAAACGAGGGGGTGGATTGTGAGAACCCGCCTCGGTTCGAGAGAATTACTAAAGAAAAACCCAAATATGAGTTACACTTATATTTTGTAATTTGTATAATAAAAAGGGGGTAAAAATAATATCCTAACATAAAAAAAAAAAATTAAAAATATAATTATTTGTTTATTTATTAATATTGAAGAAATAGCAATCTACCCACCCAAAATCTTCCAAAACAAAACCAGGCCCAAAAGCCCAACTTGGTGTTAGGCCCACAAACTAACAATAAATGAGAATATAATTAAAGGCATTTAAAAGAATATAATATATTAATATTTATGGTGAGGACATACGACTTTCCAATCATGAAATTTAATTAATTTTTAGTGGTTTAGAAAGGTCTATTTAATCCCCACTTTAGAGAGGGAAAAAAAACATGGTTAAAAGAAGAATAATGTGGACTAAATTATTAAGTAATAACCACTTTTATTCTAGTCTGAAATCAACTTGAGTATAATTCAATTGTTTAGAACATAATTGTAATATCTTACCACAGGATTTAGAGTTCAAATTTGTCAATACTTGTCGTTTCTATGAGTGAAGACTATTAGTTCTATAGATAAACACGAGTTCTTTTAGCATGTTTTGTTCTTATTCACGTGTTTCCTTAAATTGCTCCAAGTAAATCACGCTTAATTTTGAAGTTCCTATAACTGAGTCATTAAAAAGGAACGTACACCTTGTTGGTAAAGGTAACAACAAAAAAAAAAAAAAAAAAAAAA